TACCGTTACCAAAACATGAGATATGTCCGTCCGTCTGTGTGTTCATGTAAATCTTGTGGCACATACACTTCCCTATCACCGTTTCGAAGCGGTTGCCAACCTTGCTAAATATTCAATGCCATTTTGCGAGATTATTGGGAGTGATATAGAAAAACCGAATCGCATTGGTTTCCAATGTTTTTACAAACCTTCATTTCGTTGGCCTGTGTAATTAATAAAAACTTAATACTTTCACTGAAATTATTTCAGTGTTATTTTTTAAAGCTTATTGTATAAAATGCACGTGTAGTGAAAATTTTCAAAAAAATCTACATACATATGCACATGTATTTCCCTGAAACCGTTTGTCCTATCGATTTTTATATAACGGCTATCACTTCCTTTAGCCCATCGAGGATATTTAGATCCGATCATACACACAAAGACTCTAATAGTGTTCAGAGTAACAGTTCCTTTCAGAAATTAATGGTACATGGCAGACTTATTAATCAAATATAACAGGAGGATCATAGATAGATTTAGTTTTATAGTGCACTATGGTGTTGATTCAAGTGTTTTCAGCGTAAAAGACAATTTCTGCACATTTCACTGACAACGTTGTAAGATCTAACAACCGTGTATACATACATGGCTTTCACTTATTAAAACAATTATTAAAATAAAAACTCTTTTAAAAAACTTATTAAATTTTTCACATTTTTATTTAATTTAAAAAAATCAATAAACCTACATTATTTACAACTAATAGAATAATCAGTTTTATTTATTGGACTCATACAACTTTTACCTCACTTAAATCACGCTTTTGTATAAGACGCATTTGCTTCTTCTTCATGCGCTTCAATTTCGAAGGGTTCTTAATGACCTGGACAATTTCAGCACGACGTTCATTGGCCAAACGCCTTTCGGCGTTTTCTACGCGACGCTGATGCTTAGCAATAGCTTCTTCCTTGCGGGCCTCTTTTAATTCACGCGATTTCTCTTTGATGGCACGCAATTCATTGCGTAGTTCCATTTTCTTTTCGAATGATAAACGCGGTTGAGTCTTTTTCAACGAAGAAAATCTGAAAAGATTAGGAATGAGAAATAGAGTTTTTAATTTGTGGAATTTGGTAGCAAATTACTTGGTTTTAGGTGTTTTCCAGGGACGATTAGATTTGGGCTGACCACGGGGTATAGCATTTTCTGGCTTCTGTATCTTTTTGGTTTTCGTTTTTACTTTTTCAGCTGAGGATTTGTTGGCTTGTTGATTTATTTCTGTTGTTGTTTCATTAGTGTTGGGTTTTTCATTATTTTCGGTGGTCATTTTTGCAAATTTTTAAAATAATATTATCTTTTCTTCAAAATTTTCTAAATAAAAGGTTTCACACGTGTGTTTGTTATTGTTATTCCCTATTTTGTGATGACAGTTCTTTTATAGCAGAGTTGTATTTTTTGTGTGTGGAATCTATTTGAAGAGTGTTTTATGACAAGTGACGTGGAAAGTATAAAGAGTATTTGGGTACTCGAATAATGAATTTTCAATACAATTTTGAAAGTTCCCTTTAAGAACTAGAGTTCGTTTATTATTTTCTCAATTAAAAAAGAAAATAAAGATTTTTGAAAAGGAAAATAAGATGTAGCAAAAAAACAGGTTTTGCTACAGATGTCTAAAATAACTGAGCAATGGTTAAAATGAACTCAAAAGATTTGGGATATATCTTCGAAATACAATAAATTCAAAAAGATCTTTTAAAAAAACTCATACATTCATAAACAGATACTATTTTTATTAAAAATAAATTTAACAAAAAATTCAAGCTATTTTACGATATATGTATGCATTCTGTATGCAAAATAATTAAAATTTTTTGGTTTAAATACATATTTTTGTATTTCTAATAAAAAAATAACATTAGGTCGTTTTTTGTACATATGTGTAGAAAAAAACTAAAACTTAAAACTGTACACAACAATTAGTGGCATAACGTTATAGGAATATTATATTCTAATTAACACTTCTACTGCAATCATGTTAAACATTATTTTTACTTGCTATAATTACATTTTCATTATGATGGTGTACGTTGTATTGATAGAAAAATGATTTACTATATTCAAATGTCGATATCATAATGGCACAGGCGGGCGCCACTTTAAATAGACGGGGACCCAGACCAGCAAATATACCACGTAGACCATTCAAAGCATAAATGGATGCAAGACGTTTCATCATACCACGAGAGGGCAAATCTTTGGCAGGTTTATCTAAAATTGAGGAAAAATTATGAAAAATATAAAATGCATAAATTTTTACCACAAATCAGATATACTATTATAGGCTCATAGATTTTATTTGCACTAGATTTTATTTCTACAATTAAAAGGTTGCGCCATCTGCGCCATGTGGAGCAAATATTGGCAACCACGATAAATCTTGCGACAGTCCCATGAAACCTAAAATTTAGTATTCACCTTTTTCTTTACAAATTTTACTAACCTGCAAATATCACTTTCTCGCCAAACTCTATTTGATCGTGAGTTTTGATAACATCGAAGGGGGTTGTAACTGTAGCGGCTATCTAAAAATATTAAATTACAAAACCAACAATCAAGTAAACTTTCTTAATTAGAAAACAAAGTGATAAGAATACAAATGCGTATGTGTATATGTTTACAAATTTAGTTTTTCTATTGTGAAATCATTACCAGCAAAATTATAATTTGCTACAGAGTGCCAAGATGCCCCATTTTCATTTCAAAACAGAAAAACATGTTTGTAACATATGTCTATACGCGGGACAACTTACCGAACCGGATATTGCCCCAGCAAAGAAACTGAACGCAAAGGTGGGCTCAACAACATTGAACTGTGATTTTATCGTTTCATAACAACTCCAATAAATGCCGGAAAATGGTACATCACGCAGTATAGTGGGCGGTAGACCACGCCACAAACCCAATATGCCTTGTGTTTGTACCACTGTCCGTATGGCCGAAGAGATTTGGGCATAAGTCATTTTTTCCGATTGCATTTTAGTGCGTATTAGCTCAACAGGGCTGACAACGGTGACGGCACATACACGAGCCGTTACACCAGCCAATAAAGGTATAAGGAAGGGTATATCACGGCCTCTGTGGGAACCCTTTACATCGGCCAGATACTTGTAATGAAACTCTAGGAAACGTTCTTTAAATTGTTCGTAAGCCACAAAGTAAATAACGGTGGAAGGTAAGGCAGATACTAAGGTGGGGCTTAGGCCAGACCATAAGGAACCTACACCCTCAGAACGGCTAATTTTAATGAAGGCGTCCTGTTGTTATTAAATTTAGTTAAGAATATATCAAGTTTATAAAACCTTATAATACATACAATAGTACCATTAAGATGCGCCTGTTTTGTAGTGGGATATTTAGGATCACAAGGACATAGATGATCCATTAGTCCATTGCAATAAAGGAAGCATTTGTTGGACATTTGTGTTTGTTGTGCCTGCAAACGAGTCTTAATCACATCCAAGGGAGTCACTATAATTAACAGAAATGAATATTTAAACCAATTGAACTTTGTTCCTTGAATATGTATATTACTCTTGAATACTAACTAAAAGTAGCTGTTAGCATGGCTCCTGAACAAGCAGAGGCCACCTGTTGTAAAGGCCGTATCCTAAATCTAGGGTCGTCATTGAGTACTTTGGATTTGTTTTCCACAAGCTGCGTGTTGGCGCCAGTAATTGTATGACCACTACTAGTATCAATTGCACTCTTTTGGTGTGTAGCCTCTATTGCCATTTTTATGATGAAACAGATATTTTTAACGATATTACGCTACTTTTTGCCTCCCGAATTTGATTCGATTTGAATTATTTTTAAACTTCGAACATTTGTATTACAATGTTTTTCATATACAATTTGTTATCTTTTATTGTTTTCTATTTTTTTATTATCATATTTTACAAAAACATAATTATTGTGCAAATAATTTTTTTAAATGACAATATTTTTTGACATTGAAATTCATGTGGACAAATGACTTCCACAAGGCAGAGTTGCATGAAAACGTAGTATAAGGTGCCGGTTTGACATTTATGTTATGGTAACGGAAAACGTATGTTTAAAGTTGTAGATGGAATTTTGGGTAAGTAAGGCAACTACTTTATTTATTTTGTGGTAACGGAAAATATAAGTTTAAAGTTGTGGATGCAATTTTGGGTAAGTAAGGCAACTACTTTGGAGGAGTTGGTACAAGAAGGTTAAATAAATTTTCTTAATTTAAAATACCAACTATAGTTGAAATTTAACTTACTAGATTTCTCTGAGGTATAAATGGAGTATTTAAACTTTGAGTCATTTCGCTTAATATCTAATATATAAAAACAATTAGGAATACTATAACAGCTTTTGGCCACTTCGCCTAAAGCTATGAGCCGTTAGGCTGTAAGATCCGCATATCTTATATATGTTCCAAAGGGTGCAATATCTAGTAACTTTTTCAGAGCTTTGGTTGATGCAGTACTCATGACACCATTTATACCCAAGTAGTACGCAAAACTCCCTGTAGTAGTACGCTGAACTCCCTGTAGTAGTTTGATATTACACTTTTTGTCCAAAAAAGTCCACCTGATTATTGAAGCACAAGCTAATTACACTTTTTTAAAGTCAATGTGTCATAATAGGACTAAGACCCCATTTCATGCCTATGGTTCTCCTACATTGTGCTAAGATCCAATGTGCCTTGTTGATCCCATCCTCTATGTATACAAAATTTTACGAATATAGGATTATACCAAAGTACTTAACTGTATCTGCCACCGGTATATGGCGGCTCTTTCCACCGTCTAGCTTCTCCTTCCTCGTTTTTGGGGCTTCTGAGATACCGCACCGAAACATCTTTATCCACCTAGTTCTGAATGGATCCCTATGAAAATTTTGTTGAATTATTTTGCCGGCTTATAGTCGTTTTTACGCCGTCGTCAAAATGTTTTCTGTTGCACGCCGTCATAAACTTTGCTTCGCACTGATCTCTTTTCCACCATCCACACAATTTTTTTACCGGTCTTTGAGAGCGGACACGTAAAGATTTCTGCAACAGTCGTGTTTGTTTAGTAAAGTTAATAAAACAAATTTTGCACTAAAATTAAGAAAATTTATGCATAAGTATTAAATTGTAATTAAGTTGTGTGTTTTTATTGTCAACGAATTTATTGTAAGGGAAATTAAAAATGGCGTGGCAAAAATGTATAACTTTGGCAATAATTGCTTTAATTTTGCCATCTTTTATGGCCGCCGAAGAAGGAGCAGAAGAAAACTTTGCTGTTGAATTGACGGTCGAAAATTTCGATGAAGCCATTGCAAAAAATAATCATTTTGTTAAATTTTTTGCACCTTGGTAAGTATATCTATAATAAATACATATTGTTTGATAATAAAACAAAGAATTGTTGATGTTTTGTTAAAAAAACAATGATAATTCAGAAATATTTATGATTCATTTGAATTTATATTTTCTTTAACACACATGTGTAAAAACACCAAAAATGCTATTGAGACAGTATAGTTGGTTAAGGCCGACCATATGATACCTTAAACCGATATGCATTTATTCTCAGAATTAAGGTTATATCCGACCGATATAGGCATATTGAAATAATTAATCGTAGTTCATGCAGTTCATAAGGTTTAGTCCTCGACTAAATGGAATATTTCGGGCTTTATTCATAATGCTCTCTTATAAACTGAGATGTGTAGTTTGAATACAGGTTTTGTGGACAGACTTCACTAAATCGGCTAAAAAAATTATCTTGAACCGATGTCTATGCATTACATATGTTCAATGCAAATGCATTTTACGTAGTTTACTATGGCGGTGTAGGCTATAAAAAACAACTCTTTGTTTTTCTTTATAGCCAATTTGCTATAGACACGTAGTGCCTTATGATAAGTTGTTTTATTTTTTTTTATTTCCTTCAATTTAAAATACAGTTTTTAACCGCCCACGTATCTATGAAGATTTCCTAGTAACCGCTTTTTAAAGTTTTTTTTTGGTTTTCCATTTCTTTAGTATTATGATATTGTCACTGACCATTTAATTCATATTTTAACTTTGTTGTGTGGGCTTATAGTGTCAATCGTTTCTTATCTTCTATATATTTTTTCTTTATTTTAAAATGATTTCAATTTAATGTTACTTGATCTTTTTTAAAATACACAACTCTTAACACACATTCTATTAATGTTTCCTCTATTGTTGAAATCTGCATGTTGGTGATAAGGAGAGGCAGGCATTTAGTTTTATTCAGAATACATGTGTAATGTATTGTATGAGTTTGTTTTTTACACTTTAAACAAATGTTTACTTCTTATCAGTACGTGCTGGTCTAGTATTTTATTTGTTTCTAATTTTATGGGTATATTAAACTTAAACTTTTATATACAGACAAATGATAACATCTATCTTAAAGATCGTTATTTAGTTTGCTGTTATTAAAATGCATTGAAAAGATAATTTTTGTCAAGCATTTATTTGTGGATTATGATTAATGAATGATAATTGATATAATCGAATGTATTTGTAAAGAAATATAGTTTTAAAGGCAAGCCGAATAGTTAATATAACACAATTTTTAATCGCAAAATAGATTGTTATATTCATTTATTAGATCTCTCGTTTAGGGCATGCTAGGTAAAATGTCACCCGTCAGAAATAGTTCATTTCCTACCTTCAAAATCTTTAGATCCTCTTTTTTTATTACATACTTTCATATATATCGATGGATTATATTGAAAACTATATTATGCAACACAAGATTTTTTGTTTGAATATTTATCAATTACAATGTATCTTTACTTTTAGGTGCGGTCATTGCAAACGCTTACATCCCCTCTGGGAACAATTGGCAGAAATGATGAATGTCAAAGATGAACCCCAAGTCATTATTGCCAAAGTCGATTGTACTCAACAACAAGAATTGTGCGCTAAACATGAAATTACCGGGTATCCCACTTTACGTTTCTTCAAATTGGGCGAAAGCGAATCGGTAAAATTCAAGGGAACTCGTGATATGCCTGCCATTACAGAATTCATTAATGAACAATTGAATGGTGACAATGAAATTCCCCATGGCGAAGGCTCTGAAGCTAGTGCTCCAGTTGCCGCTAAAGGCAAACTTGTTGAATTGACAGAGGAAAATTTCGCTAAACATGTTTCCAGTGGTAATCACTTTGTTAAATTCTATGCTCCCTGGTGCAGCCATTGTCAACGTTTGGCTCCTACTTGGGAACAATTGGCCAAGACTTTGCAAAATGAAAAAGCTGTAAGCATTGCCAAGATTGACTGTACCGTCTATCGTCCCATTTGCCAGGACTTTGAAGTTAAGGGTTATCCCACTCTCTTGTGGATTGAGGATGGCAAGAAGATTGAAAAATACTCCGGCTCTCGTGGTCATGATGAATTACAGGCTTATGTTAAGAAAATGATGGGCAGTGATGGCAATCAAGAAGCTGCTGCTACCGAAAAGCCTGTCAGTGGTGAACAAGATAAATTACAAGTTTTACAATTGACTGGTGATAACTTTGAGAAATCTGTAGCTGAAGGTGTCACCTTTGTCAAATTCTATGCTCCCTGGTGTGGTCATTGTCAAAAGTTGAGTCCTGTCTGGGATCAATTGGCTGAGAAAATGCATGGTGGCGAAAAATCCGTTAAAATTGCTAAAGTCGATTGTACTTCTGCTGAGAACAAGAAATTGTGTGTTGACCAACAAGTCGAAGGTTATCCCACCTTGTTCGCTTACAAAAATGGTGAACGTCAAAGTGAATATGACGACAGTCGATCACTGCCCGAATTAGTTAGTTATATTAGCAAATTCGTGGGTCACGATGAATTGTAAAAGGTTTTTTAATGAATAATTGCAGCTGCTCTCTTTTCTACATACCTTTTACTCTATCCACTATAACCACCGTTTCATCTTCCCCTCTTGTATTTGAATAAAAAAAATCAACCTTTCTTCCTTCACCTTATGCTAGGAACATTTTACGTATAAACAAACAATCATTTTGCAATTATTGTTTTCATATGCATTTAATTTAAAGAAAAAGACAAATTAATTAATTATATTTTTTATATTTTGTTTTATGTTTATATTTAGATAATTTTTTTTTTTTATTGTTTGTGATTTGTGTGTAATAATTTCTGTTGCATTTCTTCGTTTTTATTTTTTTTACTGTGGTCGATCCATTTTTTGTTGATGTAAAATTTTGTTTGCACTTTGAACATTTCATTAAGAATAAATTATATAAAATGAGAAAAAGAAAACTAATTATACAGATAATACAATAAATTTTAAATAAAAGAAATACAATCGAAAACTATTTGTGTTTTGCAATTTTTAAATAAGTTAGAAAATCTGAAAATTTGCAGAAGTTCTTTCCAAATTTCATTAAAATATAATTGATAGTTTGAATAGATTATAGTAGACAATTACGCAGAATTTGCTCAGATAATCTAAACAGACTAAAGTCAACAGTCAAATCAAACTATAGACGAGATTTTAATGATATAGTAGCTGGTTTGATTAGACATTAGCCCACATTTTGCATTTCAATTTGAATCGATTCCGTGTTTTTGTTCGAACGTTTAGTAACTATAACTGGTAAGTGGATGTGCAGAATATGGGTGATATATTATTATTATTCGATAGTCATTGGCTTGAGCAGATTATAGTCGAGCAGATTATAATCAATATCCTAAGCATTCAGTAGTCGGTAGTCTGAGCAATCTATAAATCAGACAAATCTTTTAAACAGACTTTTATCGAAACGTGATATCATTACAGAAATTTTTAATTGGTTTTCTAAAAAGACTTTTTCGAACAAAACATTTACAGCTACTTAATTATTTGCCAAACAGTTAAAAATTTGTATTCATAATAACAAAATAACATTTGTCAAATTTCCATCTATTCGGATTACGAAAACTGGTCCAAAATCTAATTAAAGGCAAATTAAATAAAAGCTTGTCAAAACGAAATTATTTTAGGGTTAAAATTCTACAAAAATATGGCATCTCTTTATTATAACAACTCCCCTTACTAAAAATTACAACTTTGTATTGTACAGCTGTTTGTTTGTCCAATAAGAAGAAGCATTTATTATTATTTTTACAGAAAAAATTGTATCGAAAAATCTTTATAATAGAATTTTGTCTTTAAAAACAATAAAAATTCATAAAAAGTATCGAATATATACAAAATCATTTAGCCAAACTGTTTAAAAACTAATAAATGCCATGTAACAATAGTTTGAAAACACTAAAAAGTTGGAAAATTTAATATTTTATCCACAAAAAATTCTAATAAGAAAAAACATCCCAAAATTCAGTGGATCAAAATTGAGAACAGATTTCTTGGGAATTTCGTGTGATTGAAATTGAAAATGGAGAAAATGTCCTCAAATATGGGTTCATCTAGTGGGAACAGTAGTAGTGGCGGAGATGATGAGGTATTGCCGTCAATAATAGAAATGGATGAGCAATCGCAGGATCGTTCAATAAGTTTGGTAAGAACACGTACATGCATTTGTTGTTTTTGGTAATAAAAAGGGAATAATTGTTGAAAATTTCCTTTCCAGCGCGTCATGAATAATTCTAGCAGTGTGCTAAAGAAAATTGCCAATTTGTATGCGGAACAATTAATGTCGGACATTATATTGGTGGTGGGTGACCAACAGTATCCGGCTCACCGTGTTATCCTATGTGCCAGTAGCGATGTGTTTCAAGTTATGTTAATGAATCCCGAGTGGAATGAATGTCGCAAGCATGTCATTGAATTGGTGGAGGAACCCTGTTGTGAGGCGGTATTTCCACAATTTCTCAAATATTTGTATGTGGGCAAAATCAATATATCCCTTAACACCGTTATGCCCATGCTGGCTTTGGCCCATAAATACAATGTACAAGATTTGGTCGAACTTTGCGTACAATATATGACGAAACACACCGCTAAAGCTGCAACGCAGGGCTTTCTTGTGTCTTGGCTGCAATACACTATTGCCTTTAGTCCCCAACACAAAGAGCTGACGGAAGCTTTAAAACGTTTCCTCAAATGGAATTTAGAAATTGTTTCCGAATCCAAAGATTTTGTAGAACTTGATGTGGCCGTTATGGCCATACTATTGCAACAGAATGATTTGGTGGTACGCAGTGAATATAAACTTTTTAGTATTTTGGAAAATTGGTTGCTACAACGTAAAGATCTTCTGGATAATGATGATTCATTGACGGATGTTGAAAAGCATGAAAATTTCATACAACTTGTAGAACAGACCGTTATACATATACGTTTTGCCATGATGACTCCTCGTGAATTAGCCCATTTACTTATTTTCCCTTTATTGGAATATCACAAAGAATTTATTGTTCAGCGTATGGCTATTGGTATGTCGTACCAATCGGGTCAGGAGGAACGTGTTAAAGAGGTGCGTAACTCTCTGGATGGGTGTCTACAGTTTACTCCACGTCTCTATTCGAACGATACATGGAGTATTAGTAAAGTTGTGAATAATTTTGATTTGATCGACAAGTATAGCAATTATGTGACATGTTTCTTTACACCGGGAAATATTGCTGAGACTGAAGATGGTAAGTGTTTGTTGAGAGAGTGAAAATAATGGTTTTATTATTAAGTAAGAAGTTATGATGTTATTCTAATCGCTACTTGGCCGATATTTGGGAAAATTCTAAATAATTTATTCAAATATAGTCCTACGAACCTATATCTAGGATTAATTCATTCTTTATTTAAAGAAAATTTTCGAAAATTTTATTTTTATATAAAAAATTTTACTTTAAATCTTTTTAAAGAAGATTTTTGGAAATTTATATTTTATGCAAAACTTTTTTATATAAAAAGGATGAAAATTTCCTTCATTCTCTTTAAAATTTTCGAAGTTTCCTTTTTATTTCGAAATTTTTTAAAAATATATTTTTTTGTATGTTTAGAACAACCCATAACATGGGAAGTGGAATTCTTTCCCCGTGGCATCAAATACAATAAAGCTAAAATGGTGTGGGGCGAAGATGTACCAGAAGTCTCTCTTAATACGGTGCGGGTAAGAGTAACTTGCAAACATTTACAAGTCAATGAAAAACGTTTCAAAGTAAGTCAATTCCACATAAATACTAAACAAACTATTAACATGTAATAACACATAATTTTCCTTCATTATAGATTGCTTGCCTTATAACTGGCGTACAAAATAAAATTGATCATATTTTAACTTTGCATGAACGCACTGAATACTTTAGTGGCGAACAGCGTGTTGTTAATCTAGATAACTTAATACCTTTCGATGAATTGGCATTATCTTCCATTAACTTATCACCGCATTTGGTGGGACCAAATCGTAATAACCTAGAATTACATGTCATAATTGTACCAATGGGTCCCTATACTTGTCGTGATACACCCTCGTTTGATTTTAAATAAAGTTACATTTAACTTAGACGTTTACTTTATTATTAAAACAAAAAAACCACCCTTCCCCTCTTAACCTTCCCTCCTACATACTCTTGCTAATATTTACTGAACATATAATGTAATGTATGTAATCAAATGATCTTTTTTTCTAAATACATATATTCCTTTTTTCCCCCATTATTTTAAGATATTAAATTTATTTTTGTATTTTTTGGCTTGTTTCCAAACAATGGATAATAATATTAAGTTGTATATTATGTTTTATTTAATTGTTATTATTTTCTTTAAATTACGCTAATTTCGTTTAAACAACATTTTAGTTTTGTAATAAATATGAAATTGTATTAAATTGAATTCGATCGACTGCTAAAATAAATATATTAAATAAATAAATTTAAAAAGATTTATTAAATTTTAAATAAACTTTTAAAAGTTGTGTTATTTATCTAGAGACAACTAGGGAAGACTTTAGCATTTGCAGAATTGTTTCGCAACTTTTTGAAATATATTTATTAGATGTTTGATTTTTAGCTTTTGTGTTTCTTAAAGTAATTAAATACTTCTGTGTATCATATCCAGAAATAGAAACAAAGCTTTATCACCTTGTTAAGTATATAGTTTTTATAATTCTTAATAAATTGTGGATTTTACTGCCACCAATTAAGAAATATTGCTTTGTTTTTCTAAAATACTTAACAGCCGCTGTGACAACTTAAAAGTTAATACATTCATAGTTTAATTTATAAATTTTATAATAAAAAAAAATAAGCAAAACTCCATGTGGCCTGTTATTTTGCTAAAAAAAAGTAAATTTATATTTAAATTAGAAGTACACGTGTTTTTGTTGTTAAAATTTTAATTACTTTCTAAAGTTAAAGATAAATAATATGAAAAGAGGTGTTGCTTTATCTTAGCAACATCAAAACATTACTAAAGTTTTGCATTAAATTGTACAATCAAATATGATTTCAATACATATGAAAAGCTATTTCAAATAAAATTGTCTCTGACTGTTAATACATATCTTTAATTTAGCCTGAACGTCTACTTTCTTAATTTTTTTTAATCTTATTGTAAATTTTGACTTAGAATAGTTTTGGTTAGTAACTCGATAAAGATCTGTAGTTAATATGTGGGTATAACATAGATTATAAAGTTTTTAGCTTAACTACTTTATTTTTAAGTTTTATCTAAAATTTAAATGTTTTTTTTAATAGTACAAAAAAACTATGCGTAAGAGACATTAGATTTATAAGTTTATGATGATGTTTTGTACCCGCCATTGTAAATAGACTTATAATACCTGAACATATGTAAATATCTGTACAGGCAGACAGGTAATTTTGGTGGCGCCAATAGGTCATTTACTACCATTTCCAATTTCATATATAGTATCTTAATAATCGTTAGCTTAGTACGCAAGTCCTATTCAGTAAATTTTACAGTAGATACAGAAAAACGTCATAAGTCTCCAATGGCACTAATTTAAAATTCAACTGCTATTGAAAAACGACAAAACAAAGAAGAAAACTGCGTTTACAGATTTTAAAAATATGAAAGTTATAACGTTTTGTACCTTCTAACATTTTCTGAAAAGGACTTGTTACTTTTGCGTACTAGTTAGTTAGTTTGAAAGGAGGATGTATATACATCAAATCCGAAGAAATACACCTAGGCCTCTATCGGGCCTGTTGTGCGCTCCTTAACCAGTGCCTCAGGTGAGAATCGAACCCACCAGCTCCGGTCTACCAGACTAGAACACTAACCTTCTGGTTAAATTTTGCCCTACACCAACGTCAAAGTATACCGATCGACTCAGGATCTTTCACGATGCTCGTCTTTATGTCCATGTAAAGGTTGTTATCAAAGTATAGGTCAGTTTTAATATAATTTGATGAAATTTGGAGTAAATATAGATATTTTAAAATTAGTTGTAATTAGTCCATGCAACCGCAGTTTTTTACATCGATCGATTTCTGGACGGACAGAGTTTTCACCAACTGCAACTGTAACTTCAATGATATCACATACAAAGAAATATAAAGACTTCAAAGGTTATTGTCCCAGACAGAATATTATTTTATTAAACATTATAATCGAAATACTGAAAATTTCCGTCAAGAGCCGATTTCGAGTAGAGTAATATCATTATAAAAACAGGAACCAGAGAGACTCGTACAGGTCAATTTCGCTATTATCACCTTTAAATCATTCGTTAGTATTTTCACCATCTGGATGATGGAAGTTAGGCTAGAACTAAACATTCAAGTTGATGAGGACAGAATTTCGTTTATCAACCCCCCAAAGATTTGACGGCATCGTTCGTCTTAAAGCACTTGGCAGCAGTACTTCCGTAAAAGGAAATAATTCTTCTTAGCTATAAGTATATACAATTCTTCATCATTCATAGGTTATGTGGATCTAGAGTCGTCCTAGGTAAAGAAAGACAGGTTGCTTATCGCACACTTGGGTCCTATTGGTCCTTTGTGATACCTGGAAAACATTAAAGAGTGGAAGGTGTCGCAAGTGAATAGAATCTAGAATGAAATAAAAGTACGAGAAAAGGAAAACAGTATTAAAGGAAGAAGAATAATTATTAGTAGGGCAATAGGAGAGTAGAGATAAGGGAGTTCCAAAACTCCAGTAAGGTGGGTGGTTTCCCCCAAACTAATTCCAAAGTCTGATAAAGACATTAAGGCGATCTAGCTCTATGCTAGATAATTGTAATAAGTTGTCAAAAATCGTTGCCCTATATATGCAGATCGAATGTCTCCTAATAAAGAGCAATGACCTAGAAGATAGTCTATTGACTCTTCTTCCTCATTATGACAACTCCTACAGAAGTCGATATAAGGCATTCCAAATCGTCTAATATGTATGTCAAATTTGCAATATCCTGTAATTATTGCTATCATGTTGCTAAGTTGAGAACGAGTGTTTTTCAGATGGTAATTTTAGAAATTCCCGGTTATGCGATTCTAAAGTATAGTTAGCGGAATAACGCAAATGTAGTCAATGTACTCAAGTCGAAAAGTAGGGTACCTGTCTCAGTGCGTTCATCAGGGATAGAGTTACCAGTACAATCCCCATGTCCCCGTAACCATGTAAGACGATTTTAGAATATTGATGAGGTATACACACCCGTTAGGGATTAAATGACAGCACGGTTGTTGGTATAAATCCGAATGTCTCTGTTCGTTATTATATAATACTATAGCCAGATTGCTGCTCTTTTTATGGCTGAAATTACAGTATCCATGATGCTAGCATGACCAAAAGGCCAATTGGACCATTTTCATGTCTTATGGTAGCCAGTGCTTAACTTTTGGTCAACAAATACATCGGAAACAAGTTCATCATATTGAACAGAGATTTTTTGGATGTTGTTCCTAACGATCATGTTAAGAGGAGCGCCATCCGCCTTATTTTTTAGGTTATTGTTCAGTGATGTCCACTAAACGGTCACCCCATAAACTTAGTATCATAAGTGCGTCCTCAAGTCAATGTGAAATCATGCCCAGATGTAAGTCTAAAACTGCAACATCATCATCAATCGTCCTAACTCAATGGTGAAATATCTAATGATTCTAAAAAGATACTGTTATGGGACCCGAGAAAGGTCTGATATCTTGCAAATCAGGGAATACAATACCATGATTTGTAAATAGGGTGTCGTCGAAGAAATCACCCTAACTAAAATTCAATATCAAGGTTTTCCAAGTTGTAACTACCAAGGAATCTGTTTCACTTAGCAGCTAGGACTCAGTATATAAAGATAAACTGCATTTATGACCGTTTCTTTATTTACCTTGTCAATGCAACTGCGACAATAGTCGCATACTGGCAAAATAGCGTTTTTCCTTAAAAGATTGCCATAGACTGTCATTCACGAGAATTTTTCAGCCTTAAAAAACCCACATTAATTTAATGAGGAATACCTACATATCTCAAGCACGTCACCTGATCCAACACCGTAGTTAATTTTCTAACCATACGAATATAACCCGGTTTTATAGTTGTTCACTAGGTAGCTTGATTATGATTATAGTAGTAGGATCAAAATTCTGTTGATACGTTCTTGATCTCCAACACCTGAACACTCTGCTTCTGAAAATCTAGTCCTTAATGCGTTGCATTCTTCGCTCTGTGTTGTTTATTCAGTTTCCAAAGTAAAAAAGAGTCCAGAATAATATATGGATATTGGGCATTATTCGATATGAGAATTTCTCAGTTCTTCAACCTCATCAGTTTGAGCTTGGAATCTTAGTTCTAGACCACTTTCCTTAGTCCTGTTATAGTGTAACCCTAGATAATTGTACAATATTTTAGTAATCACATCCCTGATTCTAATATCGCTTAAGCGACAACTTCTATCCTTTTATTGCCAAGTAGAATAAAGTAGAAAGTAGAGATTACGACACCCTGAGATAACTATGTGCTATCCAACTTGCTTGGACCTAACGCTGTTACCAAGAATTGCGGTAACAATATATTCCTGACTCCAACAAGCCATACTAAGCCGTTTCTAACGTACATTAACAATTTTTTTTCATGAAAAGTAGCACTAAACAGGCCCGATAGTGGCTTCGGTGTATTTCTTCGGATTTGATGTAATATACATCTTCCTATCAACCTGATTAAATAAACGCTTATTGAGTTACAGAAATAGTTACGTTATTGAAACACTCTCTATGTCTAAGAACGCTTCCAAGTCAATGTTTTGACTTGAAAAGTTTAAAGACTTTAACCTTCAATTGGGAAAATTGTTTCAAGAGAGACAAAGCGGCCCATAAATAATGGATGTATGAGCACATTTCCGAAACAACCCATGAAATTATTATCATACTTACCCCAGACTTGCTCATTTTGCTCTCATTAGGGTCATCCCATATAATCTTTTAGGTTCTACCCACCATTTCATTATTTCAATAGGCTTTATGGGATTCTCTCATCCATATTTTTAATTCAGACTACATTGCGTCGAATGGTTTTGCGTTCGTCAGGTTAACTACCTCGAGCCTTTCGGCTGTAAGTGCCGCCTCATATCTTAAAAGTGTTTCAATGGGTGGAATATCTAACAACGTTTCCATAGCCTTGGTTGACATAGTATTTATGGTAAAATGTACGCTGAACTCCCTGTAGTAGTATGATATTACACTTTTTTGCCGAAAGAAGTTCACCAGATTATTGAACCATAAGCTAAAATTGGTCTATGTAATTACACTTTTATAAAGCCAATGTGCCATAGAAGGAGACTCCATTTCATGCCTATAGTTCTCCTACGTATTACCCAGCACCGATGTGCCTTTTTGATCCTATCCTCTATGTGGTGTCTCCATTTCCGGTTAAGGTACTTAACTTTGTCTGTCAAAGGTATCTTCTTGCCCAGGAAACAGGGTTCAGTATAATTATAAAGTTTTAAAAAGA